GACAGTGGTGGGGAGTGTGGCCATGCAGAAGGTTAGAGCTGACTGCAGAAGATGACTATGGTATGAAGTGGCCTAGGATGAGGCTGAAGAAGGAGTTAGGCCAGAGTATGTTGAGAGTAAAGCACATAGAGATAATGCTGGAATGTGGAGGAGAGAAAGTGTGGCACAGTCTCTCTCTTCTCTACTTTGGGAAATCCTATCCATTCTCATCAGTTCTTTGCTGACCTGGCTGCTACCCAGGAAGAAAACAAAGAGCTCTCCCTTTTTTCCTCCCAATGTTTTTTTTTTTTTTTTTATGTTAAAAACTTGTAAATTGAGGTTTTATTGACATAGAGCATTATATTAACTTTAGGTACATAATAAAATGATTTGGTATTTGTATATATTGCAAAATGATGACCATAATAAGTCTTATGTATCAACACACATAGTTACAAAGTTTTGTATGTATGTGATGAGAACTTATAAGATTTACATTGTTAGGATCATTCAAGTATGCAGTACAGTATTATTAACTGCAGTCACCACACTAACATTACATTCCTATGACTTATTTATTTTATAGCTGGAAGTTTGACCCTTTAGACCCTTTCATCCATTTGGCCTGCTCCCAAGTGCCTACCTCTGGCAACCATCATTCCGTTTTCCATATCTGTAAGTTTGGTATGATTTTTATGTGTTTTGTTTTTTAAGATTTAAAGATCATATGGTTTTTGTCTTTCACCTTCTGACTTATTTCTTAGCTTAATGCCCTCAAAGTCCATCCGTGTTGTTGCGAATGGCAAGATTTTATCCTTTTTTCTGGCCGAATAGTATTTCACTGCACATACATATATGTGTGTGTGTGTATTTCACATTTTATTTATTAATCACACTTAGGTAGTGTCCATATCTTCATTATTTTAAATAATACTGCAGTGTACAGGAGACAGGAATCCAAACCATCGCCAAGAAAAAGAAATGCAAAAAAGCAAAATGGCTGCCTGAGGAGGCCTTACAAATAGCCGTGAAAAAAAAGAGAAGCAAAAAGCAAAGGAGAAAAGGAAAGATATTCCCATCTGAATGCAGAGTTCCAGAGAATAGCAAGGAGAGATAAGAAAGCCTTCCTCAGTGATCAGTGCAAAGAAATAGAGGAAAACAACAGAATGGGAAAGACTAGAGATCTCTTCAAGAAAATTAGAGACACCAAGAGAACCTTTCATGCAAATATGGGCTCAATAAAGGACAGAAATGGTATGGACCTAACAGAAGCAAAAGATATTAAGAAGAGGTGGCAAGAATACACAGAAGAACTGTACAAAAAAGATCTTCACGACCCAGATAATCATGATGGTGTGATCACTCACCTAAAGCCAGACATCCAGGAATGTGAAGTCAAGTGGGCCTTAGAAAGCATCATTATGAATAAAGCTAATGGAGGTGATGGAATTCCAGTTGAGCTATTTCAAATCCTGAAAGATGATGCTGTGAAAGTGCTGCACTCAATATGCCAGCAAATTTGGAAAACTCAGAGGTGGCCACAGGACTGGAAAAGGTCAGTTTTCATTCCAATCCCAAAGAAAAGCAATGCCAAAGAATGCTCAAACTACCACACAATTGGACTCATCTCACATACTAGTAAAGTCATGCTCAAAATTCTCCAAGCCAGGCTTCAACAATATGTGAACTGTGAACTTCCAGATGTTCAAGCTGGTTTTAGAAAAGGCAAAGGAACTAGAGATCCAACTGCCAACATCCGCTGGATCATCAAAAAAGCCAGAGAGTTCCAGAAAACCATCTATTTCTGCTTTACTGACTATGCGAAAGCCTTTGACTGTGTGGATCACGATAGACTGTGGAAAATTCTGAAAGAGATGGGAAACCAGACCACCTGAACTGCCTTTTGAGAAACCTGTATGCAGGTCAGGAAGCAACAGTTAGAACTGGACATGGGACAACAGACTGCTTCCAAATAGGAAAAGGAGTATGTCAAAGCTGTATATTGTCACCCTGCTTATTTAACTTATATGCAGAGTACATCATGAAAAACACTGGGCTGGAAGAAGCACAAGCTGGAATCCAGATTGCCAGGAGAAATATCAATAACCTCAGCTATGCAGATGACACCACCCTTACGGCAGAAAGTGAAGAAGAACTAAAGAGCCTCTTGATGAAAGTGAAAGAGGAGAGTGAAAAAGTTGGCTTAAAGCTCAACATTCAGAAAACTAAGATCATAGCATCTGGTTCCATCACTTCATGGCAGATAGATGGGGAAACTGGAAACAGTGGCTGACTTTATTTTTTTTGGCTCCAACATCACTGTAGATGCTGATTGCAGCCATGAAATTAAAAGATGCTTACTCTTTGGGAGGAAAGTTATGACCAACCTAGACAGCATATTAAAAAGCAGAGACATTACTTTGTCAGCTAAGGTCAGTCTAGTCAAGGCTATGGTTTTTCCAGTATGGATGTGAAAGTTGGACTATAAAGAAAGCTGAGCACCAAAGAATTGATGCTTTTGAACTGTGGTGTTGGAGAAGACTCTTGAGAGTCCCTTGGACTGCAAGGAGATCCAACCAGTCCATCCTAAAGGAGATCAGTCCTGAATCTTGATTGGAAGGACTGATATTGAAGCTGAAACTCCAATACTTTGGCCACCTGATGTGAAGAACTGACTCACTGAAAAAGACCCTGATGCTGGGAAAGATTGAGGGCAGGAGGAGAAGGGGATGACAGAGGATGAGATGGTTGGATGGCATCACTGACACAATGGACATGAATTTGGGTAAACTCTGGGCGTTGCTGATGGACAGGGAGGCCTGGTGTGCTGCGGTTCATGGGGTTGCAGAGTCGGACACGACTGAGCAGCTGAACTGAACATGACGGTGACTATGACTTAAAAATATTTGTTTATGTATTTATTTATAGTCGTGCTGAGTCTTCTTTGTGGGGGTTTTCTCTAGTTCTGTTGAGCGGGGGCTACTCTCTAGTTGTGGTATGTGGGTTTCTCATTGCGGTGGTTTCTCTTGTTGTAGAGTATAGGCTCTAGGGTGCACAGACTTAATAGTTGCAGCCTGTGGGCCCTAGAGTGCATGGGCTTCAGTAGTTGTGTTGCATGGACTTAGTTGCCTCAAGGCATGTGGGATCTTCCCAGACCAGCCATCGACCAATGTCCCCTGCTTTGACAGGCGGATTCTTAACCACTAGACCACCTGGGAAGTCCCTGAATATAACTTTATGAGTTAGTGTTTTCTACCGGTGCTTTTTTGTTCATGTGGTTAGTTGGCCTCTTACTTCTTTATTTCCAAGTTGCTTTAGATGTCTACTGTTTCTGTAGGCTAGACAGCTCTTCAGGGAGGGGATTTTTGTTGTTTCTATCTAGGTTAGTTGGCTATATAGTAGATGCCAAATGTCTCTTTGTTGTTGTTGTTCAGTGGCTCAGTCTTGTCTGACTCTTTGTGACCCCATGGACCGCAGCACACCAGGCTTCCCTGACCTTCACCATTTCCTGGAGCTTGCTCAAACTCGTGTCCATTGAGTCAGTGATGCCATTTAACTATCTCATCCTCTTTCATCCCCTTCTCCTCCTGCCTTCAGTCTTTCCCAGCATCAAGGTCTTTTCCAGTGAGTTGACTCTTCGCATCAGGTGGCCAGAGTATTAGAGCTTCAGCATCAGTCCTTCCAATGAATGTCTCTTAGGTTGGGTTATTCTTTAGATTAATATCTCAACTAAGATATTTTACAACTTTAAAATTGTAAAGATTCTGTGATTCTACATATTTCACACTGGCCTAATTTTTGTAGTTTAAATGACAAATTATTTTCTTTAATACTGAAGAGCTCTTTTGGCATCATAGCTTGTTTGGCATTGAACACTTTTTTTTCTTATATGTAATTTGTTTAAATTCAAAGTTATTTGTCTAGGAAAGGGAAAAGTTCACATTTTGAAACTCTAAAAATAACATACTGGGTAGATGATGCCAAAACAGTGGTTTTAATCAGAAAACCATTTCTCAATCCAGCATCTAAATGAGAGCTAATTACTGAATCTTTTCATAGTTACTAGACTTTCACTGTTTTAAGGCAATTAACAGCAGTATTGAGAAACCTAAGTAATGAAATATTTTTAAAACCTCTATTTTTTTCAGATTTCTAATGCATTGTGATGATCAAATGTTCCTTATGTACCCCTGATGTAATGTGAATGATCATATCTTATAACAGCTTTAAAGTTTTAATGAAGAGTATCATTTCATTCTCTTAGTAGATAGATAAATTCACCCAAAGTAGACCCCGTTGATCATGCATTATTCTATTAAGATTATTTTTTTAAATAATGCTCTTAATTTGCTATGGAATTTACTAAATTTGCTGAGATAAATTTCCTAAGATAGTTTTCTGTATAGTTCTATGGAGAAGTACAAGATTGACTTAAGTCTGTTGAAGAAACTATCTTGTATCTATAAAAGTGGTTTTTCAAACTTGAGATGCAGATATGGGGTGAGAAAATTTTAGGAAACTTGACTTAGCATGTACGCATGCATGTTGATCTGTCCAGCAGGGCTTATGGTATTAAGTTCAAAAGCATTTTGATTCTTGATTCTTTTCTCCTTATTTTGGGACATCTTCTGATTCTATCACATGTAAGATATTTAATAATATAATTGATCAGCATGTTAGCATAATTTTTGATCCCTTTGATAATAATAAGATTTGTGTGTATGTATGTGTTAGTCACTTAGTCATGTCCGACACTTTGCTACCCCATGGACTATAGCCCACCGGGCTCCTTTGTCCATGGAATTCCCCAGGCAAGAATACCTCCAGACAAGTGGGTTGTCATTCCCTTCTCCAGGGAATCTTCCCCACCCAAGAATTGAACCTGGGTCTCCAGCATTGCAGGCAGATTCTTTATTGTCTGAGCCACCAGGGAAATCTCCAAGGTCATTTATGTTCTAAATATAAACTGTTAAATAATTTAATGCTTATTTTTTCAACAGATGTGAATTATTAAAAAGAAAATGGCCCAACGGAGCACTGTATTTCCTTCTCTTGTCACCGAGGAAAGGTATAATATATGGAAAATATGCATCTAAGGTATACTTTTTCTTTCCACCAATTCCATGAGGGCTGCTAGTGGGCGTGATGGTCATTATAAAAGAAGCCTTGCAGCTTCTTTTAGATCCAAGAATGACTTTTCTTAAGGGCAAGAGCAGTACTGTTGTGTCCCCTCTCCAGCTTCTGACTTGTAGGACACTGTGGACCTTTCAGTGATTGTGACTGGTGCAGATTTCACGGTAGCCCTGCATTACAGTCGTACTTCTGATTAACAATAAAATGTACCTCTGGAGGCTTATGGGCTGATATCTCCACTAAAACTTTTAAATGAGAAGTTGCAAATTGGGTGTCCATAGGCCAAAACTGGCTCATAGAAGTAATACATTTTTTGACCTGGATCATCTTAAATACTTTTAAAATGAGTTGTTAACATTTTAAAAATCAGGTGGGGACTTCCCTGGTGGTCCAGTGGTTAAGACTCCGTGCTTCTGATGCAGGGGGCATGGGTTCGATCCCTGGTCGGGGAACTAAGATCCCACATGCCTTGTGGCGTGGCCAAAAAATACATAAATAAAATAAAAATCAGGTGACTTCACATACAAGCCTAAATTTCCTTGTTCTTCTTGAAATATCAGATGATCTGGAAGAGTGAATCTGCATTCCCAAATGGTTATTCATAGGTGGAACAGAATTGTGGCTCCCTTAGGTGAAGAATGCCCCTTTCAGTTTTCCAAAGTCCCTGCCATGCCCTAGTGTATCCTGTGTGGTATGCTTCACTCATTTATATCCAGTTTGACCCTTGTAGGCATTTGAGTTTGTAGCCACTGCTTTAGGGGAAGGGGGAAGGAAAGCAGGTCCAGTGATTTTGTTAATAAGCTTTGATCCTGCAGCCTCTTGCTTTGGGAGGTCATGGAGCCTGCTACCAGCACACTTGACTCTCTGTGGACCGTTGATTAAAGATGCTGCCTGTCTCACAAAGAAAACTCTTTGGGGCAGAAACTGCTGCAAATCTTCATTTAGTTTGTAAGGATAGATAATTTGCCTTTCCTGGGAAGTCTTGAATCTGGCTTTAAAAATGACTTTTTTCCCAAATGACAACCTAGTAATGTGGGGCTCCCTTCTGCAGGCGAGTTCGAACGATGCCCCGACACAGCCAGTCCCTGACCATGGCACCTTACTCATCCGTAAGCCTAGTGGAGCAACTGGAAGACAGGATCCTCTGCCACGAGAAAACCACGGCCGCGCTCGTGGAGCACGCCTTCCGGATCAAAGACGACATTGTCAGCAGCTTGCAGAAAATGCAGAACAAAGGGGGAGGCGACCGCTTGGCCAGGCTTTTCTTGGAGGAGCACATCAGAAACATCACTGCCATAGTGAAGCAACTGAATCGGGATATCGAGGTATGGCATGTGGAAGTGTGGTGCATTCCCACAGACAGATCTGCCCCACACCTGATGACCCCTCACAGGCATTTGTGCCATCACACCACAGCCATCTGTCTTGTCCAGTCTTAATGATTGCCAAGGAAACAGCTTGAACAAATATGTTAAGTATATTCCAGTATCTGGTAGCAGTTACTGTCAGTGTTATTTGTGTTTAATCTCTGTGTACCTTGCTGATTACTAAATCACTTTGTTTTGTTTGGCTCTCAATGGAAAGAGAGGAGAACTCGTCAGATAGTTTCCCTGTAAAACCCTTCATGTCGTTGAAGACAGCTATTAAATCAATTACTGGGTCAGCCTTTGCTGCTTCAGATGAAATGTTTCTAGGTCATAATGATTATATATAATACAGTTGATTACTCAGACAATCTGGGGATTTGAATTGCTTCTCAGGCTTGGCTTGCTTTTATTGCTCTATTTTTCTCTGAAATGAGCCCAAGAAAAGGCCAGTATTGTCTATTTTTAGAGTTTGTAAATTTACTGCTGTTTATTGAGCAATCACAGGGACCATAGAATTTAATTCAGAAAGCTTAAGATCATTTAGGGCCCGGGCTAACATCACTGAACAATGTCATTATCTTACACATGTAGTTTGAAAATACATGAATAAAAGGTATATGGCTAGATTAAGGAAAACCTTTGTCTTTTGTCATGGAGATAGTATTTTAATTATGCTTCCTGAAATCATGATTTTTTTTTCAGTTTCAGATTTGTATTTATTTATTTTAAGAGCTTTACTGAAGTACAGTTTAAAAGCCACAGAAGTCTACCCATTGTAAGTGTACAATTCAATGATTTGTAGTAAATTAATAGAATTGTGCAACCATCAACACAGTTCAGTTATAGAACATTTCAGTCACTCCCCAGATTTCTATCAGCCTGTTCGCGGGTAATCCTTCCTTCTACCCCAGACGCAGGCAGCCACTAGTGTGCTTTCTGTCTCTATAGATAATTTGTCTTTTCTGGACATTTCATATGAATGGAATCTTACAATATGAAGTCTTTTGCATCCAGCTTCTTTCACTTAGCATAATCTTTTTGAGGTGCAACCATGTTCTAGCAGGTATCTGAAATACTGATGCATTTCGTTTCTCTTTATGTCTGAGTGGTATCCTATTGGACTTCCCTGGTGGCTTAATGGTAAAGAGTCTGCCTTCAATGTGGGAGACCTGGGTTCGATCTCTGGGTTTGATCCCTAGGTCAGGAAGATGCCCTGGAGAAGGAAATGGCAACCCACTCCAGTATTCTTGCCTGGGAAATCCCATGGACAGAGGAGCCTGGCAGGCTACAGTCTGTGGGGTTGCAAGAGTCGGAAATGACTTAGTGACTAAACCTACCTAATAATATCCTATTATATGGATATACAGCTTTCTGTTTTTCCACTTTCAGTTGATCGACATTTGGATTGTTTCCAGTTTTTAGCTGTTGTGACTAAAGGTACTGTGAACCTGTGAACATGTCTTTGTATGGAGATATATTTTAATTTTTCTTCCGTAGATGACTAGGTGTGGAATTGCTAGGTCTTGAAGTAAGCTTATGTTTAACTTTTTAAAATGTAGCCAAACAATTTTCCAAAGTGGCTCTGCCATTTTACAATCCCACCAGGAATGTGTAAGGATTCCAGTTTCCCTGCTTCATCCTCAGCACTTGCTATCATCTCTGTTTTTGATTATAGTCATTATGGTGGCCATGTAGTGGTATTTCATTGTGCTATTAATTTGCATTTCCCTAATAACTAATGATGTTTTCATGTCCTTATTAGTCATTTATGTGTCTTCTTTGGTGAAGTGTCTACCCAAGTCTTCTGCCCATTTTAAAAAATTAGTTTTTATTGTGGTAAGATTTTTATTGTTTTAACCATTTTAAAGTGTGCAGTTTATTGACATTAATTACATTCACAATGTTATATGCAAACCATGACCTCTGTCGATTTTCAAAACTTTTTGATTATCCCAAACAGAAACTCTATTCCCAGTAAACAATAACTCTCCACTGCACTTTCACCTCAGCCCTGGGTAACTTCTATTCTGCTTTCTGTCCCTTTTCTAGGTATATCACATAAGTGCAGTCATACAGTATTTGTCCTTTTGGTCTCGGTCATTTCACTTATCATAATGATTTCCAGATTTATCCATGTTGTAACATTTGTCAGAACCCATTTTTAAATTAGGTTATTTGTTTTATTATTGAATTGTAAGATTTCTTTGTATATTATAGATACAGGTCCCATATCAGATAGGAGATTTGCAAAATATTTTCTCCCATTCTGTGGCTTCTATTTTCATTCTCCCAATGGTGTCTTTTGAAGCACAAGTTTTAATGAAGTCCAACTTACAAGTTTTTTTTAAAAAAAGGTTTACGTTTTTGGTGGTGTGTCTTGAGAACTGTTTGCTTAACCCAAGGTCATAAGGCTTTTGTGCTCTGTTTTCTTCAAAAGTTAATTTTAGTTTTTACTTTCAGGTCTGTGAGTTACTTTGAATTAATTTTCATGTAATTTTCATGTATGAAGTGAGGTTAAAGATCTAAGTTAATTTTTTTTTCACATGGATATCCAAGGAAAATCGATCATTTTCCTGTTTGCCCCTTTGTCAAAAATGAATGGATCATAAAATTTAAAGGTTAATTTCTGAAAGCCATTGATTTGTATGGCTTTCCTATGCCAATACCACATTGCCTTAATTTTTAGCTTAAGAGTACATTTTGAAATCATACAGTGTAAGCCCTCCAACTTTGCTCTTGTCAAAATTGTCTCTTATTGTAGGTCCTTTGTATTTCCTTATAAATTTTAGGATTAGCTCCATTAAAAACTCTGCCGAGATTTTGACAGAGATTGCTTTGAATGTATAGATCGGTTTGGGGAGAATTGCTGTGTTAATATTGTCTTCAGTGTTTCAAAGCATCAGCTCTTGCTTTTATTTTTTTCATATTTGCTTTTTTTTTTCTATTTCATTGCTTTCAACTCTAGGTTGTTTCTGTTTTCTCTGCTTATTTTAGGTTAGTTTGCTTTTCTAGTCTCTTCAGGTAGAAGCTTAGGGAATTGGTTTGAGATCTTTCTTTTCTGATAATGGTGTTGAAAGCCATAATGTGGCCTCTGAGCACTGCTTTGGCTGCTTCCATGAGTTTTGGTATTTTGTGGTTTTGTTTTCATTCAATTTAAAGTATCGTAAAATTTACCTTGTGATTTCTTTTTTTAGTACATGTGTTGCTTAGAAGTATGTTATTTAATTTCTGAATGTTTGGGGTTTCCCTATATTTAGTGGATATTTTGTGGATTTCTAATTTAATGTGGGCAGAGAACAACTTTGTATATCTTTAATCTCTTTAAATTTATTTAGACTTTTTTAAGAGATTTTTTTGATGTGCATCTTTTTTTTTTTTAAGTCTTTGTTGAATTTGTTACAATATTGCTTCTGTTTTATGTTTTGGGTTTTTTGGCTGCAAGGCATGTGAGATCTTAGCTCCCTGACTTGGGATCAAACCTGCACCCCCTGCGTTGAAAGGTGAAGTCTTAACTGCTGGGCCACCAGGGAAGTCCTGAGACTTTTTTCCAGTTTTTATTGTTGAATTGCCTATTGCTCCTTTCAGTTCTGTCAGTTTTGCTTCAGGAATTTCAGGGCTTTGTTGTTACATGTGTATACATTTATAATGTGTACAGTTTCCTGATACAGTGATTCTTCTGTCATTATAAGATGTCTCTCTTTATCTCTAGCAATATTTCTTGTCTTCAAGTCTCTTTTGTCTGATATTAATATAGCTGTTCCAGCTCTTTATGACTATTGTGTGCATAGTTGATTTCCTTTTTTGAGACGTCTCACTCAGCTTATACCCAAGGGAGAACCTAGAGTACCACATGATTAACAATTTTCACTGTCTTTGCAGATTACAGCACACCATTACTAAGGACAGAGGTTTACCCAGAGTTGTATCCTATTGGAGTACATTTGTCTTCAGGGTTCTAAAATTTCTGGTCTATGCTTATTTTGATGTTTAAAGAAAAGGACCATGTGTTTTTTTTATAAGGGGATGGAGTTGATCTTTGTTGCTTTGGTGACTGATGGCATCCATTTCAATTTCTTTGGATCATAGCATTTTATTTTCCCTTTGGAGTTTACCTTTATTCAATTGGATACAGGCTAAGATGGCTGTTAATCAGAGTACCTTATCATATTTTTAGATAATGAGGACTGGAGTCCATAACACAGACCAGAGCATTGAGACTCTCACTTCCTGGAGTCTGAAACCTGAACAGAGTGTTCCAAGGACATGAGTATCTTTCCAGCAGCTGTACCTGTAGGATGCTAGGTAGTAGTCCTACTGCCTGGACCCTAGAAGTTGCCTTTTGTGTCTTTTTCTCAGTCTGGATCCCAAGCTGCCCTGTTGATTGTATGCACTTCTCCCCTATAGCCTTCCAGTAAATTCCAGATTTTTCACCTAAGCCAGAATCAGGTTCAGTTGCTGGCAGCCAAAGAACTCTAATGGTATCCAAGAGGCATAGAACATGTAAGAGATTGCTGCAGATAATTTACTTGTTTTCAGAAAGTGGTGTCTATATTTAGAATGATCTTTCCAGTATTATATTTGAGTGCTAAAGCAGCTTTATCCCTGAGTCTGAATAATTTGGCAGGCCCAAGTTGGCATCTTCTCAAGATTGAAGAACCCCAACTTAAACATTTCCATTTTGAAAGAGAGAGATATATTAGGAGGCTGATTGCCCTGCTGTACTCCATTCTATAAAGGGTGATGGATAAAATCAAAGTGATTGGGGAGAAACAATGATGCTCAGATCCCTGATCCTTCTACCAGTGGTGAGAAATGTGTCGCAAAAAATTGCAAACCCTCATGTTTCATGTTAGAAGATGGTGTGACCTCCCCATTCTTCCCACACCCCTCATTTTGCTGTGGGTACTCTGCTTGGTTATCTTTGCTTATGTGGGTGGTGGACAGACCAGAGACTGGAA